TTCCTTTCTTTTCTTTCCTTCCTTCTTTACTTTTTCTTCCTTCCTTTTTCCTTCCTTTCTTTTTCCTTTTTTCCTTCCTTCCTTCCTTCCCCTTCTTTTCCCTTCCATCCTTTCTTTGTCCTTCCTTCCTTCCTTCCTTCCTTCCTTCCTTCCTTCCTTCCTTCCTTCCTTCCTTCCTTCCTTCCTTCCTTCCTTCCCTCCTTCCCCTTCTTTTCCCTTCCATCCTTCCTTTGTCCTTTTTTCCTCTTCCTTCCTTCCCTTCTTTTTTCCTTTCTTTTTCCTTTTTTCCTTCCTTCCTTTTTCCCTCTTTCTTTTTCCTTCTTTCATTTTTCTTCCTTCCTTTTTCCTTCTTTTCTTTCTTTTTCCTTTTTTCCTTCCCCTTTACTTCCTTCCTTCCTTCCTTCCTTCCTTCCTTCCTTCCTTCCTTCCTTCCTTCCTTCCTTCCTTCCTTCCTTCCCCTTCCTTTTCCTTCCTTGCTTCCTTCCTTCCATCCTTCCTTTGTCCTTTTTTTCCTTTTCCTTCCTTCCCTTCTTTTTTCCTTTCATTTTCCTTTCTTCCTTCCGTCCACCCACACGGTTCAGAGCCATTTGAGTCACATTTTTTGGAGTTCTCTCGATGAGTTCCGAGCAGCAGAAACGTTGTGCAGTGAGTGGTGACCTCACAAAGCTTTAGGTCAGAGCAAACACTGTGAAGATCTTTACCTTTTAAAACTCCACGGTGTGTCGGCTACCATTGGCTGTTTTCTATACGGCTTTGCTGTAAATGTAGCATCAGTGCTGCATTTATCTATAACGGTGCTCCGACTGTTCTGTGATGGACTGCACGTTTTAGCTTACAGTGACCAAAGCTGGTCCAGTCGGCTCTTAAACTATCAGGACAAGGTAAAGGCAGACTCAAAACACTGCTTCCAGCAATCCACTCCAAATATTAAAATAAAAAAACTCAGACATGTTTTGTGGAACGAAGAGAGGGAATTGGATAACTTGAAAAATCATGTGTCAAACTCAAGGCCCGGGGACCAAATGTGGCCCTTGTTGACATCTTATCTGGCCCCCAAGATGTTATTTTAAATGTAAATTACTTCTATCACTTTAATTTTTTTCAGTAATCTTTGATTATGATGTCCCAACTGCAATAGGAAACATCAAATGAGACCAATCAAACTCTTGTTGAGGAACCTGCAACCAAGAAAATATGTTGCGTATCTAATTTGAGTTAATGTAGATTCTGAAACCGGCCCTTAGTTTGAAAAAACTTTTAATTTCGGCCCCCTTTTGTAAGTGGGTTTGACACTCCTGCCTTAAATAATTGGGGTGGCCTAAGATTAATCTATGGTGGCCAAAGCCACCATTAGCCACCCCCTGGCTCCGTCATTGCACCTGGTGGTGGATCAAATTGCTCCCTCCACTCTTCAGGATCTGTCACTCTTCGCTGCCTCGGACAGGAAAAAGAAAATAAAAAAACCACTACTTCTGTTCTACAAAAAACATCCAGGTTTACCTGCATTCCCTGTTTAGTTCCAGTCCAGAAAAAAACCCTCATCTTGAAAACTACAAACATTTACTGTTCAAAGCCCATAAAGAAGGGGGACATCGGCGCACTGCTCATTAAAATTGATTTTTTTTTTTATTTAAACTGCTCAATTAAAATTTGTAACCAAAATAAACCAAATTGAACTGCATGTTCAGAATATGTCTCAAGATGGATGTTTTAATTCGCCTCAGTCAGCTGACAGCTGAACTCTTGTTTGTTCGGGGTCGTTTCGTGGCGTTCTGAGCGTTCGTTTAATAAAACCAAGCCACTATGCAATCATTCACGCTAAACTTCTGCACATTTTCAGACTTAAACGTGAAAACGGACCCAAAAGTTGTATTTTAAATGAAAGAAGGTATTTCAGGTTGTTTTTTTAGGCATCTTGTATAAACATTGTTCCACATTTTCTGGCTCTGTTGTAAATATGTTTTTTTTTTTTTTTTAAATCTGTCTTGACAGAGGAACAACCTGAAGGAGCCGAACGAGGAAGCTAATGACAATAAAGTGTTTGCGATGTCCGAGCACACCTGTCGGATCCTGGACTTCTGCCTCATGGATCAGATTTATTATGTTACTTTGCGAAAGTATGTTGAAAGTATACTTTAATCCACATTTAACAAACAAACTAACAAAAAACATACGGTTTTGCTTTTAAGAGCCGACATCCTTCCTGTGTTTCATTTGCAGGAGTTTGATTGAGAAGCCTTATTACAGTTATTCTGATTTTCATGCTGGTCAACTTGTAGAGGTAAGGACAGAACGTCACCTTCAGGCCAAGTAACGTCTAAAGATAGGTCTTTAAATTACATGAGATGCTTTATAAGAGATGAATTCTGTTGTGAAACTGAATAAATTAAGAAATTGTATTTTCTGCGAAAATGCATTGTGAATGCTTACTGCTGAAGAACTTTCTGAAAAACAGATGAAGTTAGATTTAAAATAAAACATGCTGAAATGGAGGAACAAGCCTAAGTTAGCAGAAGAAAGCAGGAAGAACACATATTTGATGAATTAGTTTGAAATAAACTAAAATGAGCACAAAAATTAGGAAATTAGCTAAAAAAAATGGCTGAATTTAGCAAAAAATAGCTGAAAGGGCTGAAAGAAGTTTAAACTACCAGAAGGAAGTGGAAGAAGCTGAAATGAGTTCCAAAATATGGAATTAGCTGAACAAGGCTAAATTTAGCACAAAAAGCTAAATAGTAGCTGTAATAGCAGAAAAAAATTAAAAGGAGCTTAACAAGCTGAAATTAGCAGAACAACGTTAATTAGGCTGAAAGTAGCAGAAAATACCACAAAAAACTTGAATTTATCTGAAAACAGCTGAAGTTAGCTACGGAAATGTTTTAAAAAGTAGCTGAAAAAGTTGAACAAGCCTAAATTAGCAGAAGAAAGAACATGTTTGCTGAAAGAAACGCACAAAATTAGAAATTATCTGAAAAAATACTGAACTCAAGATCAAGGTTTCTTTATTGTCATACGTACCACATGTGGTACATGTGGTGGAATGAAATTATGTACACACGGTCCTAGTTACACCCAACAAAAGTATAAATTGTAAAAGAAAAACAGTAATAAGAGCTAAGATATGAACTAATAAGCTAAGCACTCGTAGAACAAAAATATTACACAATAATAATAAGAAAAAAACTGCTGAAATGTAGCTAGAAAGGCAAAAAGAAGCTTAAATGACCAGAAACAAGTGGAGAGAGCACATTTTTCTGAATTTGAGTGAGAAAAGTTGAAATGATTGCAAAAAATGGAATTACCCAAAAACCTAAAATTAGCATAAAACTGCTAAATAGTAGCAAAAAATGCTGAAACTTGTATAAATAAGCTGAAAGGAGCATAACAAGCTGAAATTAGCAGAACAAATTAAGAAGATGCACAAAAGTGTTGTAGTTAGCAGAAATCTAAAAGGGTCACAAAACAGCTGAAATTAGCTGAAAGTAGCCAATTTCATTTTTTGTCTCACTCTGTTCTCTGTTTGTCTCCTTTTTTTAAGGGGACAGTTTCAGTGCTCATGAGTCATGGGATGCTGGTTCATGTGACTGATCATATTAAAGGTCTGGTCCCTCGGACCCACCTCTCTGACATCAGCCTCAGCAACCCAGAGAAGAAGTACGTCGAGGGAATGAAGGTGACCTGTCGGGTTAGTAGAGCTCTCACCAAAAACCTACAGGTAGAAAACACAAAGCGGACACTTTCAACAGGTCTGTTTCACGTTTGGCGTTTTTGTGTGGCTCTGTGCCTTCAGGTGCTGTCGGTCGACGTCGAGAACAAGAAGCTGTACCTGAGCAGAAAGAAGACTCTGGTTGAGAGCACCCTGCCGCTTTTCCTCAGTTACAGCGACGCCCGCCCAGGCCGCGTGTCCCACGGCTTCATCGTGTGCATCAAAGACTTCGGCTGCATCGTTCGCTTCTACAACAACGTCAAGGGCCTGGTGCCACTCAGAGAGCTCAGCGCTGATCCCATCAGCAGTCCCCAGGAGCTCTTCTATGTTGGACAGGTTAAACAAAATTCTGAGGACTGTGTTAGATCTTTATGATTTAGGTCGTTTTGGTGATTTGGACCCAGAGTTGAAGGGTTGCTTTCTGGCTGTGGTTCAGGTTTTAAAGACTAAGGTTCTTCAGTGTGAACCGGAGAAGGCGAGGATGCTGCTGTCGTTTAAGACAGAAGTGGAAGGAGAGACGGAGGAAGCTGCTAAGCCTCAGTTCGAGTGTGAGGTTGGGAAGGTGCGGTAAAGATCTGCTTCTTGTAATCTTTCATCTTAGCGGATCCAAAGCGTCTCATTTTCTGTCTCCATTTGTGCTGCAGAGGTTGGAGGCAAAGCTGGTAAAGAAGCTGGTCAACGGTCTGGAGGTGTCCATCCTCCCTGATGAAGTCTGTGCCGTGCTCCCCACAGTTCACCTTTCTGATCACGTGTCCAACTGCCCTTTGCTGTGGGGCAGCCTTCAGGAGGGAGACGTCATTGCAAACCTCGTCTGCTTCAACAAGAACAAACAGAATATTGTATCCTTTTTTTTTAAAGACATGTCTGATCAAAACTGGAGGTTTAACTCGTCTCAGAAAGATGCGTCTTTTTTTTCCTGAGCTGCTGCTCGTTTAAAGACTCTCACCAAGAAACCAACAGTGAGATGGTCCATGGAGGAGGGGCTGGTCCCCAGAGACTTCTCTGAGATTACAGTTGGCATGCAGCTGGTTGGCTGCATCAAAAACATCATGTCCTATGGCGTGTTTGTAGAGTTCCCGTACGGTCTCGTTGGTCTCGCTCCCAAATCGGTGAGTGAAGAACCTAACGTGAGACGGATGCGCACATCCCTGCCATTATTGGACTGCTTTTAACGTGCGTTTGCTTCTTAAGGCCATGTCAGACAAGTTCATCCAGGACACGATGACCACGTTCCAGCCGGGTCAGACCGTCATTGCTAAAGTGACCAACCTGGATAAGGACAAGCAGAGATTTCTGGTCACTTTGAAAATATCAGAAGTCATGATGCCAGGAGGAGACGCACAAACCAGACTCATTCATGGACTGCAGGAGAGACGAGCTGTGAACGAAATGTTGGCTGTTAAAGGTACGTTTGTCGGTTTCTTCTGTGAACGTAACTGAATACGTCCTGACGCATGCTCGATTAATCCAGGGAGAAAAATCTAAAAACGTAACGTCAGGTCGTCTGGACGGATTCTTCAACTGGATGCAATCATTCATTTTCTGTAAACTAATAATAGATTAAATACCCATCGTTCTTTCGGGCAGTCTTGAGGCAACCTGCTGGAGTTTGAGACTAAAACCATCATTGTAGCCATTTCATTCAAACCTTGTAAATAATGTTCAGCTCACTTTCATGAAACACGGCCTAAGATTTTGTTTGAGCTGTTGATGCTCAGAACATGTTGGGGATCAGCATCAGCTACTACCACACATAAAATATACGTCAATGTCTGTAAAATAAACTGAATTGTATCTATTTTTGTGTTTTTATACGCCAGTCAAAAGTATTGTGGTATCTCTGTACGCCCATGAGCTTTCTTTTCATTCGGGCCATAACTTCTGATTTGTTCAAGATAATTTAATGAAACTTCAGACACATATGAATGATCACTAGATGGAGAGTTGTGTATATTTTTCATGACCACAGCTCCAAGGTCAAGGTCAAATGTTATACAAGGTCTTTGCTTGTCCTGGCCATAACTTCTGAACCGATCAAGATCATTCACGTGTATCATCACTAGACCGAGCACTGAATACACATTTCTCATCACTCTGGTATAGGGCTGGGCGATATGGACCAAAAGTAATATCCCGATATTTTAAGATGATTGGCGGTACACAATATATATCCCTTTTTTTTTTTTCTTCACATAAAGTAATAAAAATATATTACTGAGTCAAAGCTTTGTCCCAGTTGTCACACAGGTACATTTATTAACAAACAGCTGTAACTGTATGATAAGTTGCTGCTTTATTAATGTCGCACCACCTCTCACTGTTCCTCTCATAAGGCACAGCACGGCTAAATGAGTTTTGACCCGTGGTTTGTCTCAGGGACGGAGGCTGAAGTCAACAGTCAGAGCTGCAGCTTCACATGTTTCATGCTCCACTTGTCGTGCTGTTTTAAATGGTGAAAAAGATTTAGTGCTGACCTTTTGTCGGGACTTATTCACGGCATTGTCTACAGAAAACATTTTTCTGCTGCTCATCGGACAATTTAAATCCAAACCATCTCCAAATAACAGCTATTGTTTTTCTTATTGCTCAGCTTCTAAGCTGCTCTTCGATATCCTCTCCTGTGTTTACTTGTGCTAAACTCCAGCCCACCTGGAGAAGAGGGAAGCAGGGGGAGCGGGTGAGGGGCTGGGTTTGTATTCAGTGAGGAAGAAGGAGGGGCCGCCTGAAGTCAGCGCAGACAGGGAGAAAAAACACAAGTGTTTCCCCTACCATTAAACAGGCGGGGTGCCACACCCTGCCAACAAAACTGAGCACCCCGCCTACCAAACTGGACTTGCCCCTCCCACCCCCACCCGGCACTGACATATCACTAAAGTAGCGGCGCAAAATACAGGCTCTCTAGCTAAAAAGCCCAAGGCAGCACTTGCATAGCCTCTTCCCCCATGTTGAACGCCCCCCACCCCCACTCAAAAACTGTTAGTACAAGCTGCACTCAGACATGTTTCCGTCCCCCCCATCAGCAGAAGTCTTGTTTAAGGTCATTTGTCTGCGTCGTCCATGTTTAGAATAGATCATATTAACACAATGTAGGCCTTTGGCAGGACACCTTGTGGTGGTCTGGGAAACGTGTAGGGTGGCCTTCAATGTGTTTTGTTTGGTTAAGAGTCGTTTTGACGTCCGACGTCTGAGTCTCGTTGATTTTAATTCCAGATGGGGGAGAACTCTGTCAGCAGCTGGCTGCTCTGTCTGTTGGTGAGAAGCTGAAGCTGACTGTTGAAGGCACGACAGAAAACGGAGCCACTTTCAAGTCCGATGACTTGAATGGTGCTACTGTTCTTGCCAATAAGCATCACGTGACGGGTACGTACTAAACCCTTTGCCCTGCAAATTTTGGATTGGATCAGCTGTTTTGCTGATTTTATCTTCTGTTCTATTTGTTTAAACTTCCAACAATACTGTTTCAGCGTTTTTCTCCCAAGTAAGTTTGTAAAATACCCACATTTGTAATTGGCATCAGCGTTTTGTATATTTTCCAGGCGTTAACCTGACTGCCGGACAGAAAGTTGGCGCGGTTGTCCTTCACGTGGACATCCTGTCTAATTGTATCCAAGTGTCTGTCCTTCCTAAGCTGCTGGGAAAGAAGAAATCTGTAGGTGTTACTTGTCTTTGCTAACGTGCTGTATAACAAAACACAATCACGTTAAATTGATGGATTTTTCCATGGGCTTTTTTGGCAATACGTCTGTATGGTAATATTCATTTTTGTAGTTGTATTTTTTTTCTCATAGTTGACTGAAGAATCCAAATACACGGCTGTGGTGGAGTTCATAGACCAAGACTTTGCAGTCGTCTCACTGGGCAACACAGCACAGCTGACTGTGATCCAAACCAGAAGCCACCTGAATGACATCATCTTCTCCGAGAAACTGGACGTGGGGACGACTTTGGCGGTTGAAGTCATAGAACCCACCTGCGAGGAACTGCAAGGGCTCCCCCTGTTGTCGTGGAATTGCAGTGCTCCAAAGCGACAGCGCGTAACTTCGGAAAACCAGGATCGGGGTCACTGCTTCGGCGAAATCCTGCAGGGGAAGGTGCACACAGTGAAGCCTACATCAATTCGCGTCACGCTGGAGGATGGAAGCAAAGGCAGCGTGCATGTGTCTGAGGTGATGGAGGCCGCCGACATGCGAATCGGATCCTTCCCTACGTCCTCCGTGAAAGCAGGCAGCGTGATCACCTGCAGGGTCATCGGAGGACGAGAAGCCTCCAGTCGCAGGTAATCACAACCCTTTTGTATCATTTTATCTGTTGGAATATACACATATCTTCATTTTTGTTATATATCATTAAAGTGATGACACAAGATGTTTGTTTTTTGTATTAAATCAATCTCAACTGTCTTTATTTCAGATTGATGTCTTTCTCTCATCCAAAATTCACTTACTATATTCCTGAGCTCACACTTGTACCCAGGTAACTCTACGGCTGGTTCTTGTACATTATAAACATTATTTTCATCGTCACAATGCCGTTTATTCATAACCTGTTGTAATGCTTGTGTTGTTTTGAATAGAGTCCCTTCTTAATGAATTTCTGTTTATTTTCATGCAGCAAATTAGATACCAGTGTAAACTTAAAACCTGTTTCAACACAAGAAAAAATGAGCACCTATAAAGTTGGGGAAGAAATTACTTGTTTTGTTTCAAAGGTAAGCTAAATAGTTATTGTTTGTCAGAGATGGCTTTTATTTGGCATTACTGCAAATTCTCAGAAAAACAATGCAAATTTGCAAATATTCAGTATTTTTTAAGCTCTTCATCGTGTTTCGTTTCTGTCTCCAGTTCCATTCAGACAGGAAGTGTTTGGAGGTCACTTGTGGTCCTTCTGTCACCGGGACGGTTGAATTGCTTGCAATGATCAAGAATCCTCAAGTAAGAAGATGCGTTTGCTTTGTGTATAAAACTATTTAGTGTTGAATGTTTTCAAAGGAAAGAAAAGATATATATATATATATATATATATATATATATATATATATATATATAACATGTTCAGCACTGAAGAGAAACTGTAAAAGTACTTTATAAATCCTGAGTGTTGAATAACTTCATTTTGCTAAAGAAGCTGAAACGTTGTTAAAACTAAGAGAACACAAGCCCAAACCTATCTAACAGATGCAAGGATCTATATAACAGAAGCAACGGGCTAGCTAACAGAAGCAAGAGGCTAGCTAACAGAAGCAAGAGGCT